CCTCCTCCCCTGGGACCCACATTTCCCGAGACAAGACATTGTCCTTATTGCTGAAGCCCCGAGGGCCTCACAGGGCTCTGCTTTGACGGCCGCTGACTCTGGAGTTTCCTCATTCCTGCTGAGGACAGACGTGGGGAAAGGACCAAGTCCTGTTTTCCGTCTTCAGGCTGCTCAGCTTCGGGGAGGCCAGCCCGAGGTCACATTCCAGCCCCCGCTCCCTGCCCAGGACACGGGGGGCAGGGGGTCCACCGGCAGAGCCTCAGTTTCTCCATCTGTAAAAGGTGGCAATGGCACCCCACACACAGGGCTGTGTGAGTGAGAATTCTACACATGCTGCCGACAGCACACTCAGGATTCAAATCCCACTGGCAGCGTAACCGGGAGCAAGCTACCCCGCCCCTCCATGCATCAGAACAAAGGCGCACTCAGCACAGAATCCTCTCCTCATCCCCTCAGCACACTGGGAGCAATGGCCCCCAATCCAGCCCCAGGTCACACGCCAAGGAGAGAGAGTCTGGAGATTTGGGGCCCACAGGTGACCCCAGTGGATGCCAACTTCTCACACAGACACGCAAGAAATCACATCTCAACTGATTTATTTGCTTTTGGGGTGTCAAGTTTGGGGTCTCCCAGGGCCCAGCCCCCAGTAAAGTCTGGCAGACACTTCCTTGGCAGGGAGCCCCAGGCGTGAGGGTTTCAGACAAGGCACTGACGGGAACTCGGGGGTCGGGGAGAAGCCATCTGCGGGTGCAGGGTCCTCTGTTAGGAGACAGAAGACACGGTCACCGTGAGCAGGAAAGTTTTTTCCTAGGAGCGATTTAGGACAAGATAGAAGCCCTGAGATGTTGGGGAGAGGCCTAGAAGCCAGAGAACCCCCTGGGCAGGTAGAAAGCCAACGCTCCCAGGACCCAGGTGGCGCCTCCCATAGTTCTGAGGACTCCACAGGCCTTGAGAGCTGAGCCTGTTCCGAACCAGTTTCCTCTGGGATTTCCTGGAGATGAAGTTTATAGGACAGGAGAGCGGCTCCCCTCAGGCGCCCCCTGCGAATGGGCACTCGGGAGCCAGGCCAACTCCCAGAGAATGGGATCCTGCCCCGTCTCCACACCCCATTCCTATGGGAGAGGCGGGCACTTCTGCGGGTGTCTGGGCAGCTGAAGGACAGGCTTGGGTGAGGAGCGGGAGGAGGAGAAACGGATATTCGGAGTGGGGAGCCCCTCGAGGTCTGGGAGCCCCAGAAACCCAGCTTGTGACAACTGCCCCTGCACCAGGGGACAGGGCCCCTTGGCAGGCATGTCCACCATCCACCTAGGTACTGACCTTCAAGATGTAACATTGCCAAATGGCCCGCACCCCTAACAGCCATTCTGCCACGGGTCCAAGCGGGACCCTGGCCTTGAACATGCTTTCTCACCCAGCAGCAGCCCCAAGCCCTCGCAAGGCACTTGTGCCTGGAGAAGGGAAATTTCATCTGGGATATGGGGGGTAAAAGCCCTTTTTGGCTCCTCCAAGTCCATGGATACCACGGGATTCATAGCCAGGAGGATTGAGGGGGGCAACCTGGCACTAAGGCTTCTGCCCCTCCGACCACCACTGGTGAGTGCCCCACGTGGCCGCAGGCTCGGTCTCCAGGTGGAGGCTGGGGACACGGTGAAGAATGGAGCTTTGTCCCACCATCCTTGAAGGAGAATTCTGGCTCAGACACTCCAAGGGGCGGAGAGGTCAAAGGTCAACCGTCTAGACAGTGGCAGCAAAAAAAGAGGCTGGTGTGGTGGGCAGATTTCCCCGAACAGCTCCCCTCCCCAACCTGGGTACTGCCAAGGGGCACAGGAACGCTGGTGCCCCCCCCCCACCCCCGCCAGCTGGCCTAGCTTCCCAGCCGAGACGTCTAAGATAATAATACGGTATCTCGAATCTACTCTTCCAGCTGTCCCGAGCAGGCCCGTCCTGGTAGAAGTTTCCATGCCAACAAGCAGCAGGGCAGCTGAAAATGATTTTCCTTGCTGAAACGATTGCAATCCGACACTCGCCAAAGACTTGGCGCTGAGTAGGAAGCCATGATGTTGCCCCTGCCTGGCCCTGTCTCTCTCAGTGGCCAGGGGACCCTGGCTGCTCCTTGACTGGACCAGGTAGGCCAAGTGGCACCTGCCCAGAACACCAACTCAAATCCCTCCTTCTTTCCATCTTCCTTCCTTCCTTTCTTTCCCTTTCTTTCCTTCCACCATCTTCTTTCTTTTTCAAGCTACATACTCATGCCCACACCACTGACCTTCTTTTTGGAGGGGAAGGGGGTCCAAAGGAGCTGAGAGAAGAATCAAGGTATGAGCTGCAGAGGCTCTGGCATATTAAACCAGACACCCAAATCACACTCCCTCCCCCTATCCCCCCCTCAGCACCCCCACAGGGGCTCGCCAGGGAGAGGCCCCCTCAGCTTCCATATGAGACCCCCCAGCATCACTTCTCACCCGCCCCCCACCAGCCTTCACATCACATCCCTCGGTTCAACTTCCCACCGTTAGCGATGTCACACCCACCTCTCCTGGCATCGTTCTCCTCCACCCCTGACAGCTGCACCCATTCCACAGACCCGCCCGGCTGTCCCATTCTATGCCCCAATCTGAGGCTCTGAAAACGACAAGGGAGAGGAAGGGAACCTGGCCCTCTCGTCTTACACAAAAACATTTTGGCCTGAGACCCAACAAATGCAGACAGACATGTCATGGAGTGAATGGATGAGTTGACCCAAAAGAAAAATTTTTAAAAATTCAAAACAGGAAAAAAAAAAGCTGTCAGGGAATGAGTGAAATATTTAATAGCTGTCTGATTAAATAAAAATGAGCTATAGGTGCTGTATCATGGACAAGGACAGGATTCCCGTCCAACTCGAGGAAATCTAAAACAAATAAATGCGGGAACACAAAAATGGCACACACACACTTGACAATGATCAGACATTAAGTTACGTCTCTCGGCTGCTAAATCTCAGGGTGCTTTAAACAGAGAGGGGAAATGAGGACAAAAGAAAGATGAAAATGTGGACTTTGGGGAGTGCCTTAGGTACCCAGCTAAGATCGGGCCTGGCTCACCTCCAGTCACCTCCCTCCCCATCCTGCCAAGATTCATTTTCTCCTCAGAGCCCCCAAAATCAGACCTTTGGGGAGCAGAGCTAGATGGAACTTGATGTGATGAATTGGACCTCTGCCCCCGCCATGCCTTGAGCCCCCCACATTCAAGAGCCACAATTTCTGCCCACAGAAGCCAGGTGAGGGAGCAGATGCAATTATATCCCACACACCCAGATTCCTCAGGAGACCCCAAACTCAGACTGGGGACAGGGAGGGGACATTTCTGGCAGCGGGAGGGCTGGCATGGAGGGGGAAGCAGAGGCCCAATCACTTCTACCTGCTGGCCACAGTCTACGCCCACAGCCAAGCGCCCTCCCCAAGTCTCCACCGGTGCCCCCTTTCCTCCTCCAAAGCCCAGGGGTCAGAAAATGCCTTTAACTCAGAAACCCATCAACCTGGTTCCCAGCCCACATAGCAGCTCCGCAGAGGCAGGAGCCACCCCGGGCACTGGAACAGGAGGGAAAGAAGGTAAATGTTTAAGAAAACAGAATACAAATATCAACTATTTAAAAAACAAAAACGAAAGTGGCCCTGGCCGGGTAGGTCAGTTGGTTAGAGTGTCATCCTGATACGCCTAGGCTGTGGGTTCGATCCCTGGTCAAGGCACAACCGGAATAAACCAATAAATGCATATATAAGACGAAGAACACATTGATGTCTCTCTCTCTCCCTCTATCGCTCTCTCTCTCTCTCTCTCTCTCTCCCCCTCCTTTAATAGCCCTGGCCAGGTAGCTTGGTTGGTTGGGGCATCGTCCTGATACACCAAGGCCGTGGGCTCAATCGACAGTCTGTGGGCTCAATCGACAGTCAGGACACATACAAGAATCAATCAAGGAGTGCATAAATAAGCAGAACAACAAATCGATGTTTCCCTCTGTCTCTCCCTTCTTCTCTCTCTAAAAAACAGTAAGTAAAAAATTAAAAACAAACAGAAACCTGCATGTCGGGATATCGATGGGATCCGATACAGCATCCGATTCTGGTTTGCTTCACACTTAGGGAAATGATAAAACCACATGTTCTCCCAAAAAGGGGAATTCTTCCAAAACATGTATTTTTTCTCGATCGGCTTCCTGGTTGCTGCCGCCGCCCTGTCCTGACGGTGCCAAGGTGCAGCTGAAGTTAGTTGCCTCCTGGGAAATGTCACGCTCGTCCCTGGCTGTAAGTCCGAAGTCACCAGGGAGGTGGTAACAATTTACTCCTGAATCTGGGTGCGACGCCAAAACCATCGCCACGGAGCTTGGCAAACTCCAGCCCCAGGCCCGGCTTTGGGCGCCCCCTAAAGGAAAACAAGAAGCTTGCCCCTAGCACCAAAGCTCCAAAATCCAGGCCAGATGTGGGTGGGTTTTCAGCTGCTACAAATTTTTACATATTAAAAAAAAAAAATCATGTACATGTCAAGATGGCAAAGC